ACCTACGAAGCGCATCAGCCAGTGCCATAGTACGTGAGTGGTTATCTTTAGGCATGACGTTTTACCTGTAGACTGTCTCCGGTATAGAGTACTGCTTTCTAGCCACAATGGTTTTGATGCTTTGGTGACTTCTTTCTATAATATCATTCCCAGTGGGTGCATAGGCACATCGGAACCACAAACGTACACCCCAATTACTTGAAAAGTTCTTGAAATGCTTGCAGGTGAATGCTGTGTTATTGTTGGTCAATATCTCGAGTGGCAGACCCCATTCATAAAAAATTGACTCCAACTGGCAAACTACACTGGTAGAATCTTGTTGACTTAGTGGTCACCATGTGGCAAACTAAGAGGTCCTCAATCAATGATTGTCAGAAAATGTTTACTACCATAGTGGGTGATACCCAGAGAAGTCGCTCGACTTGGTGCGACAGGCCAGAAATGAATGTGCACATCATCGATTGCTCAGGCATTTGCCCCCAACCAGAAGAGCTATAGGTTTAACTGCTAAAATTCTGTCTACAGTTTATCCAGGGCGAAATCATCATGACAAATTGATCAAATGCATTGAATGAATCCACCACATATGCGGTTATAAGGGCTTGCTTAATCTGTTCTATGTCTGACCTCTGCTTCTTAGCTCCCAGTACACAGTGAGATCCCTGGTTTGCAAGTGCAGTGGCAGTATCTGCTTGATTTTCTTCATCTCGCAGAGTTCATAAAGCAACTTCATGTTCTCAATCCATTCCACAATTGGTTGATTGGTAGAAGCCCCACTGAATTTAGGTATTAGCCGAATACTGAAACTTGTCCGCCATGATTGGGAGTAAGGCCAAAATATCGTAGTTAAATGAGGTTATATACTTCTGACATTGCTCATACAATATCAAATGCTTCTTTTCAATACACCATTCTTGAATTCCCACATGTCACCAACAAAAAATATTGCTCTGCTTCTCACTGCTTCAGTTCTTTTATCATGCCAACACCACAACCAACTGCTAATTAGTGTTCATCATTTTGTCCTCAGTCACACAGTCAAATGGCATCCTCCTGTCTGACCAATCAACACACAAATTGCTATTGGTCAAACCACGCTAAGGTGTATAAAAGCCAATGTTACAAAATATACACTTCTGGAATAATCTAAAGTGTGTGGAGAGATTAATGCCATTTTCAAAGAATAAAATGCTACTGCTATGTGTCATGTATTGATGTAAGGAACTTATTTCCCTTTGCACCAGATGCAAGCCACACTGACTCGCTTACTTCTATGTAATTGCTCACTACAATACACTTCTTCAAACATGTTAATAGTAATATCATACTGGAGAAATGTACTGAATTCTAATATTAGAAAGTAGTATAAAATATATAAGCAAATGAAAAAATATATTTAAGTTTTGACAAATATTCAATTGATAAACATTACAAAAATATTGCAATTGAGCAGACAGAGTAAATATATATCAAAATGAGAATTGATGGTAAAAAGAAAAGTACAAAAGAACTAAAAGCTTTAAAGAAAGAATAGAAAGAGGAGAATTAGAAAAAGAGAAATATTACCAAAGTTATATTTGACCTAGTGTACCTAGTCAAGGGGACTTAACTCTAAAGGTTGATACTAAAGAAAAGTGAGGTTGCAAATTTGGATACAGTTTGTTGCACAATATTTTCCAATGGCAAAACAGATAGGATTCATAACAAATATAAGTACTGAAACACTTCCAGAGGTATCCGATAGCAAACAATTATTTTTATGCCTCGAATCATCTTTCACTTCAATGATTTAAGATAGAAACTAAAAATCATAATTGCTTAATATTGCATATATAAATATATAGCATAAAAGATTTGTAACCAAAATAAAATGCATTTCTACCTTCAAAATTTTATTTTTCTTTAAATCAAGAGAAAATATAACATACTGTGAAACATTTTATTGTTTTTTACTTAGTGCCAAACTGATATTTGTTTAAACCATATGCTTCAAGAATAAGATACATATTTCATTTCTATATTGTATTATTATTGTACCGGTGTGCAGGAAATGGAAGCAATTAATTCACACCAATTTCGTTCTTGTCATATAAATAGGAATTTTTAACCTATTTTTCACGAAAGCAATCATTACAATTTATCTTCTTTCATGTGAATCTATTAAACTTCAAATTAATTTTCCACTTGAGAAATGTCCTTAAAAATGTTATTTTAATTTTTTTAATAATGGTTTTTACAATATACTTTCATGGATTCAATTTTAAAACATTCTCTTGGGATTATTATTCCTGTTAGTGTTAAATTATGGTACGATTAATAAATTTTAATCATTAATATTATTACATACAACAAACACTAACAGTAAAGTCTATAGTGCATTTTTTAATTTTATCTAAGAAAATGTACACAACATGAGAGATCGATGTCGCTGTAAAAGGAAAATGTAAAGCTTTTTTTGTGTGGTTGAAGATAAAGCATTTTTTTTACTGTTGTTAGCATTGATGCATATTAAAGAATCAGACTAAAAATGAAATTATACCTCAACAAATTTGTGTCTCACCATTATGGACATTATAAACAAGGGACCATTAAAAAAGCCCTAAAACTTTTAGGGCTAAAAGTCTAATCAACAGGAATTGTGCCTTGGGAATGTCATCTGGTCCCATAAACATTCTTTTAAAAATGGATCATAAATTTTAAAAACCAGATACAATCGGTCGTATAAGCAGACACAACGACGAGTAATACAGTGTTACATATGTGACTTTCATTTCAACTACTCACTATTGTAATATTTACCAACAATAATTAAAAAAAAAAAAAATTAAAGCAAAAATTGATTAAACATCCAAAGATGTATGTAGAGTTCTTAAAACAATTTACCTCGATTGTATTTTTGTTAAAATAAAGTGAACTTTTGGCTTGCTTTCAATTGCAACTAAAAATGTTTCTCACTAATAGAGTTTGAAAACTATTTGCATTTTTTAAACTTTTCTGAAAAGTTCATCCAAGTTTTTTTTCCTCAACAAGAAAAAAAAGATTTTTGTTAATTCAGAATTTTAGAAATTTAAAAGGTGATATCTTTATGGTTTGATTTATTAAAATATTTCCCTTATTAAACCATAACCATAATTAATGCTCAAAAATAAAATGAATTCTAAATGTTTCAAAAGTTTTAAAACTTTTTTCTTCAAAAAGATGTGTAAAATAGTAAAAATAAATAAAGCATAAGACACGACATAAAGTGTTCTTTACTGTAACGACGAAAAGAAAAATATGTACATACTTACCTCACGATTAGACTGAGATAATAAATTTAAATTACTATAAAAAAAAAATGATCCTTTCAAAAGAACATTTAAAATGAAAAATTACTACTGTAGTAGTTATAAGTTTAAAAATTACCTACTTAAAAAAAATGATCGGTTGTAATAATAATCGCGAACTTTTTCTTCTCTTTTTAGGTACTCTCTGGAAATAATGAGACTTCTATGGAATAATGTCACATAGAAGTTTTTTTTTGTTTTTATGAAATCGAAAACAGACCGGTATAAAAAAAATACTGCCTGACTTATGAACAAAACCACTTACGACAACATGGTCACGTGAGCAAAATGTAAATGTCCATGTTTAAATGCCATTGTGCTACTTGATATTTATTTATTTATTTACGAACAAGTAAAATATCAAAATCTAAGTGAATAATTTATAAATTATTCAACAGAACCTGTAGGCTGCCATCATAGTTTAAGTTCTATTATCTAGGTCCATTGATCAATGATTATAAATAAGGAAAAATTGAACAAGGATTGAAAAAGAAAAAAGTCAAATTAGTTTCGTTTCGTGTATTAAGTGAGCGTGTTTAATAATTTACGAACTGAAAAATATTTCGAGGACTATGAACAATTTTAACTTTGTTGTTCCAAAATCTGACCCTTAAAAGAAATTAAGAATTTAAAAATCATTCAGGGGATGAGCTCTAGTGTTGAGTTTTTAGTAAACACTCATTTGGAATCAAGTGAGAATAGTATTGCAAACATTTTGTTAAGGTAAGCATTTAGAGCACAGCAGATTTAAACATTTTTAGTTCTTTTAAATAATGACCGTAGTTCATTGTTGATTTCGGTACACATGTTCTTTGCTGTTGCATAAAGAAAGAATAATTGTAATCATACAGAAAATAACAACACCTCTTTCTTTAGAAAGTAGAGAAAGGTTCAAATCAAAGTAAGACAGAGAAAAACTGTAAATCTACATTACAACATGCACAAGAAGTAATATAGGCAAACGTTATAAATATCAGTAAATAAAACGTAGACAAATCAGTTATCATGGAAGTTTAAAGTGTAGTGTAATAGATAATTGTAGGAAATAGATTTTTAAAAACTCCGTTCGGAAAATAAAGAGTGAATTTTGTACCGGTTAGAGGTTTAATTTTGGGTCTTGAGAGTTTCTAAAGATAGAAATTTCTATTATATATATATATCGTTTTTATTGTACACATGTTAAAGTGAAAAATTAAAAGTTAAGACATTTTACTCAATTTCGGGTTTGTCCACACCCATGGAATGATGAACAACAGTAGTTTTTAAAGGACATTGGTCAAAAATAAACAAAACAAACGAAAAAATGTGTTAAAAATTTAAATTTAGTAGATCACAAATTAAAGTAAAGGTTTTCAAACGTTATCTGACAGCTGATCTTCAGAAAAAGGGCTAAATTTAAACATGACACTAACGTAAATAAACCTCGGAAGAGAAATGACAACTAAAGCCAACCAAACATTGTTATTTTAAAAGTAAACCGACCATTTACTCCGACTAAAAATGTTGCTTTCTAACATCGAAATAAAAATTACAAAGGGTCACCAAGTAAATAGACCTTTAGAAGACTTTCTATAGTTTATTTTAGAAATTGTTTCAAAGTAAAAAAGGCAGAAAGTATAGAAGAAATTGTAAACGTATGAAGCGCTCAGTGACTTCACCGAACACCTTTCCTACCTTAGACGCCATCTTGCCTCAAACGTGGATAACAGTGACGTCACAACCGGTATTTGTTCGGGCAACAAAAATAAGACTTTTTTTTTTTTTTTCTTACTATCTACATTTTTAAGTTTAATAAAATATTTATTAACTTCAGTATGCCCACAAATAGATATAGTTGTCAATTATTTCTTTTATCAAATCGCGATAAAGAAGTGAATAAATTTTGCACTCTTCCAAAAGGGGTATCAGGTTATAAGTGACATGTAAAAAAAAGTTGCAAAATGGTTTTAAAGTTACTTTTTGAAAAATACTTTGCTAAATATTTATGTTTATTTTTTATCTTCAAAAACGACTTGTTGAAATCATTTAAAAAATACTAAAATTCATAGCTTATAGAAACTCTTTCAACTCAACATCCCTTGTAAACGTAGATGTAATCAATTTTTTACTGCGCATGTCCTCTTTTTGCCCGTTGACCCGCGAGTACGGTGGACGTATTCTGGCTCACCGCTGGTCTTAAGGATTTGATTAAGTCGGCCAGAAGATAAACGACACAATGGTGAGTTCTTTATTCAAATTTGTCATTTTTTTTTATCATTTATTGTATTCTAATTTCAAATTTGATTATTTTGAATCCCTACTTTTGGAAGCATGTGTCTGTTGTCCGCCATTTTTAACTTATGGCGGATGATCATATGAAAATGTTTGTGTAAAAAAACTAATAATTGCTTTTTTTCCTTTTAATACCTTTTTTTATCACTTCACAGGTAAATATATGAAGAGCAATATAATTTAAGTAAATGTTTATATTCCTTATACTGCTGAATAGTTTCATCAATCTTAATTTTATTTTGTCTGGTATAGGAACACATGGTTTCTTTTGAGAAGCGATTTTCGAGTAAAATCAGGATGTTTATTTAGTGTTGAATTTTTCTTCCACTTTTTTTTTAAAGAAATGTGTTCTGAACTTATTCTTTCGATCGTAATCCAAAAATTACTGTTGAAAAACAGGAATAGATAACATTTTATGCGTTTGGATCGTACCATACCTAACTGAAAATCGGGTGGGGAAGAAAAACTTAAATTTGTCGGCAAATTCTCAGCCAATTCATAATTCACCAACTTTTTTTTTTCTTATTCTCTTAATGAGGAATATATAACTACCCTCAAGCCAAAAATTCTTAATTAATATCCATGTAATTGCCGTGTAAATTTTATTTAAAACCTATTTTTCACTTGCAAAAGACTTACAATTATACACGAACGTTTCCCTTAAATTTTTGCTAGCTTTATATTTTGGAACATTACTTCACATTTGTAAAAACTAAAAATAAAAAGTGAATGAGAATAAAAAACACCAGGGAGTCGTAAACCGAACTTCAAAGGGACAAAACTCTATTCCCTGTTTAGGATCTAGTTTCCTTAAGTTGAATGTCTTTTCAGAAGTTTTAAAATTAACTTCTGAAAGAAATGCAGTTAAGAGAAAATTCGGAAAGCTACAAAAAAATCTACCAGAATTTTTTTTTTTTTTTTTTTTTTTCTCTCCAATGACCTGTATTATTTAGGAGACCTAATTTTGAAGAAATTCTTAAATGAAAAATAAAAGTAAATAGGCTTTTTAAAAAGTGCAGTTAAAATGCATTTTATTTACTAATCGTCATGAAAATGGATGTAAGAATTTTGTACTTCATTAGTTCTGTTTTCTTTTAGGGAAAATATTTAAAAAAAAAAAAAAAAAAAAACACCAATGCAGAACAATGTTGGGAAAGTATTAGTTTTATTAATCTCATTTTTCCATTTACATGCTTTACTTGGTGGTTTTTAGTAAATTGGATTTTTCCTTTTATTTCGTGTCTGTTCTAAACGTGTTACAACGCAACCAACTAAAATCTTCTCCACGTGCGCCAGGGGAATAGGTACCGCCAATTTCTTTCTTTCTGTAAGCAAGAAAAAAAATCGCTAACCTTCTTTTTAAAAGATGTACAAGAATATCCGACTTAAATTTTCATGACTTTTATACTGATAAGTTATTTTTCCATCTTAAAGAGCGTTTAAAAAAAAAAAATAAATAAATTGACGCCTTACTAAAATGCACTTTTAGGCTTTTTTTTATTTTTTTATTACCTACTATTCAGACCGGAATGTTTACCGTGCTGGTGATAATGATGAATCTTATTCCTATTCATTCGCGGTTTCCACCCGAGAGCCTTGCTGCTCATTGAAGGATTTTAAAGTACCTTCCTTGGATGTCTGAATCTCACTGCACAGTAAACTTCCTAATTTTCATCTATCTACCTGAAAAGAATATTTCAAAATTTGTACACTGGATCTGTAATCTCTCCAACATTGACACAAAAACTAACAAATTCAAAATTTTTTTCTCAATTTCCCTGAAATCTGTTCCAGATCGTAAATTAAAAATGCAATAAATCTGATTATTCAATTATAGAAACTTAATTGATTTTATAAGATTTATGAAGGGCATTGTCTTGAAGAAAAATTCGGTGGAAAAAAATGTTTAAGAATTATTTAAATTTTAATTATAGCTTTATATAAAATCGTTTAAAATTTTGCATTATTTCAATCCGATTAGGTGATGTTATTTAAGTGATGAACATTTTACGAATCAAAAGCTTTTCATTAAAAGTAGTTTTTACACAACATTTCTTTATGTATACGAAACGTACCCCTTTATGGCGACCATACACGACATCAGAAAATAAACGATAACTAAATAAATTTAAAATCAACACTCCTGAAATTAGAATATGGAGAACATTTACCAACATTTTTAAGATTACTGAGAACTTAAAAATTATAGTGTTGTTCACCCTTCATTTTCTTAGTATCGACCCCTCGGAAAATTACGTGTCAAGTGACTTACGAGGTGTTAGGCACTTTTAAAAACTTCATTTTAATTTAAAATGAGGTTTAAAATTTTTAAACCTTAGGTATCAAATTCAGTAGAGGTACCTATAAAACTAAAAAAGTTTCAAATCTCTAGTCAGCTAATCTTCTGGAAATTAAGTTTTAGAAATTTAATTCATGAAAGATTTTTCATAGAGAATCCTGTGTTGGCAAATTATTAGTGTTTTATTTTTTTTGTTAATACTAAGAAAAATTCCTGACTCGATGTAAATTATTTTTTTTGAATACAGTTAAATATTTTGCTTATTAGAAATATTAAATTTAATCTATTACAATTAAAACTAAAATACTTCATGAAAGGGCTTATTTTCACTTTTTTTCTTAATCACTAAAAATTTTTCAAGACTGAATTCTCTATGAAAACCATTCAGAAATTAAATTTCTAAAACTTCATTTGCAAAAAGATTAGATGACTAGAGTGATTTGGAACGTTACTTTTAAAATTATAGGTATCGCTTTTTTTATGTACTAAGTGGTAGTATTACAATGTCTTTTTTAGGGATCTCCACTTTTTCGGCAAAATTTTCGATGCCTAAGTTTAAAAAATGAATTAAAACGAAAAAACATTCTTGAAGATTTCATTTTAGCTCTAATTGAAAGTTTAATAATTAAATTTATTTTCATTAAGTAAACAATTATTTCAGATATTGGAATGTCAAATTTAATTTCGATCTCCAAAGACTACTTTTAACCCCCCAAAAAAAAAAAATATTTCAGAAAATGGGTTTTGTGCGAAATTTCATGAAATTAAGTAAGGGGTGACATTTAAAAAAAAAGTAAATATTCAAAAATCAAAAATAATTTTATTTGTAAATAAGTCCCGGAAATTTCATTAAATTCGGACAATTACTTTATTTTTGCAAGAACTTCAAAATCAATGTGTTTCAATGGAGAAAAGCGCAACAAAAAAAAAAAAAAAAAAAAAGTGCCCCCAAATGGCGTAAACAAAAGACTTTAACCAAAATTTCAAACATGTTAGGACTAAAAAAAATTCTTTAAAAAAAATAGTTTAAAAATACTTTGGTCGTTCATCTTAACATAAACATTTTGACAAAACTTTATTTTCATTAAGTTTGTGGCCCCTTTCGTTACGCTATGCTGTTTTCCTGCGAAAAAACAGAGCTACCTACTTTTAATGGTTAATCTTTATTTCAGGCTCATTATGCTAAAGATAGTGGGAAAGCTCCTGCTGATGAGATCCAGATCCATCGCATCCGTATTACTTTGACTAGTAGGAATGTAAAAAGTTTGGAAAAAGGTGAGATTTGGGTTTTCTTTATTTTAAATTGTGTAAAAGCTGGATTTGTGACTCTTGTAAGAATTAGACAGTCTGGACATTCTCCCCCTCTTCAATATACCTCTTAATTGTCTTTCTATTTCACTAAATCTTCTGGATTAATAACTATTACTCTGGTCAAAATGTCTTTGTGCAGGAGATAATGATGAATCTTATTCCTTTCATTCGCGGTTTCCACCCGAGAGCCTTGCTGCTCATTGAAGGATTTTAAAGTACCTTCCTTGGATGTCTGAATGCTCCTGTAATCTAATTTAAATTTGATAGTGTTAATTTCTATATTTACAGGGTGACTGTAAATCATATACTATGGATAGTGATAAGAGAACTATCTGCTCTTCACAAAGTTGAATATGGCACATGGTCCCCCAACTGAAATTCACTTCAATAACAATCTTGATACTAACTTGTTAACCTTTTTTCTTTGAGTCAGGCATGATCTATAATGCAGTTGAATATTTCTCAGATTTTGTTGATGAAAAATATGGTGATTTGAATTTTTTGTGTGGGGAGAATAGGTAAATCCATACTTATCACCTATCCACAATAACAAACACTTACTGTGATTTGAAGTTGTAAATAGCATATAAGTTGTCAAACCATTGGGGTTTGAGTAAAAGTGTTCTAAATTTTCAGTAATTACCTTGAAAGTCTTGCAGGAGATAATGATGAATCTTATTCCTATTCATTCGCGGTTTCCACCAGAGAGCTTTACTGCTCATTGAAGGATTTTAAAGTACCTTCCTTGGATGTCTGAATCTCCTTGCAATTTCAAAATTGATTCTCTTGCATGTCTGAGGTTATG